ATTTCAATGACTTATATTTGAAACATACTTAAAATCATATTTGGATCATATTTTATATTTTAACTATTTAATTATACATTCTTAATAGTTATTTATTAATAAATGTAAACTTTTGTGAGTTTAAATTTGAGTTTATGATTTTTCTTTATATTCTTATCATAAGTTTACTTAAATTTTAAGTTTGACCACCTTGATTGCAACTGTTTTGTACAAATGTACTTGTAAGTTGTATCATATTTAATTTTATGCATAACAAGTGCCTGTTTGGATACAGAAGTTAATTGATTATTCTTGGCAAATCCATGGTTTGGGGGGAAAAAAAAACTAAACACCCCCATTTGTTTATAATAAATTATGAGGGCCATGACCACGTTATGAAATAAGCTCCCTGGGATAGCTTCTCCATATCATCTAATACCATTACAATATTTATTACCTGCCAGAAATTTTCACCTGCCAATGTTGCCCTTAACTCAAAACATGTACCCTTCCTGTCTAACAGTCGATCTATCTCTTCATGTGCTCCTTCATGCGTGCCGTCCTCCTCCCACCTGCAATTGTCGTCATTTGCCATCTTCGATCAATGGCCACTGACTGCAATCTCCGACCATCATTGAACAAGGTCTGTGTTGCCCCGATCTGGTTGGTCCATCTCCAATCTGCTCCTCCTCCAGCGTCTTCTTCGTCTTCTCCTCCAATCAGTTCAAGTCTCCTCCAGCACCATTGTAAGCCTCCTGCAAGGTATGTGAGCTTCTCCAACCTTTTTTTAAGATCTGGATATAACTCTTTCGATCTGATGGGTCCTTTGTTTTGCATGCATTTTTGTTGCCCAATATGCATTCCTCCATCGTCTTTCATGTTATTTGGGTCTTTAGCTTAGTAGATCTGGTGTGTTTTATTTTGATCTAATGTGTTTTATATGGGTATCTTCTCGACTAATATTTTCCACAGTCCTCTCTATCTTTTTATTTCCATAGGCCATGTGAAATTTTTAAATTCGTTTCATGAATGAAGATATAGATTTTGTAGCTGTTGGGATGTATGGTTTTTGAAGAACATGTCCAGTTATTGAAAGTATAGTAGAACAGCAATAAGTGGTTGATGGTTTGCGGATGCGGGGAATGAATGATATAGGTTCGTCAATCAATAGTGCAAGGGCGATGAAATATTTGGTCACAAATAGTGGCTAAATGCCTTTTTTTTTATTCAATGAATTGAGAGCGGAAAAGTAAATTTGTTAAGTAACATTTCTTATGTCACATGTGAATTGCGAACTGTGAAGTTGATGGGGCTTTGGGAGATGCCAGGAGTTCTTATAATTTGCAGTGTTTTGCAAAGAATTTGATGATTCCATGTGATTTAGTTGCTAAAGCAATCAAGATTTTGGAACCATCATTATTGTTGCATGCTTTCATTAGAAGCTGATTCTGATTTTATGTAGCATGAAAGAAAAGGTTAAATAAAGCATGAAAAAGATTATCATATTTAGTGGCAGACTAAGGACCTTTGGTCAATAGGGCATTTTTATTGAAAAAAACTATGAAAAATTTTGAAAATTTATTATTTAAATACAACATATTTAATTTTAAGATTAAGTTAAATAAAATTAATTAACTAATTATATTTATATTCCTCTATTCAAAATATAGAATTATATTTAAATTTTAATACTATGTTGAAACATTTTTTTTTTCAAGTAAGGAAGATTAATATTTTAGTGGGTTCAAAATCATAAATTTTGTGGGCACAAAGTGTAAAATTTTCTTACATTAACATATAATTTTTTTCCAAGTAAGTGGGGGCATTTGCCCACCCTCTCACACTCATGTAGGTCCGTCATTGCCACTAATCACATTGATAGATGTTCATCCTTGCCATTATTCATATGGCATACATTTATAATATTATTATAGATCAATTTGTATATTATTAACTAAATTTTATGTTATTGTAAAATTGATATTTAATATTTAAGACTTATATCTTTTTATTTTATTTAATTTATTTGAATTTAGATATATTGAGTTATTTTTTACATAAATTAATTATTAATATTAATATAATTTAAATTTTTATAATTAATCAAATATATAAGTTAAATAATATATTTTAATTTTTAAATAATGTTTAACATATTTAATAATTTGTATGTACAAATTTATCAATATTTAATTTTAAAAATAATTTTTTATGATAATTTATACATTTAAAATTGATTCTAATTAAAATATACAAACATATTTAATTCTAACAAAATTAATTTTAAAAAACAAACATTTAAATAAATCACATTATAACATAATCAATTATAATAAAAATCAATTATATTAATTAATTTTTTTATAATTAATTATATCCAACAAAAATTCAAGTGACAATAAATTTGGATGAGGATGATTGAGGATATATTCGAGCAGTATTCTTACAATTGAGGCCAAGGCGCCACATCACAATCAGATTGTCAACTCTGTAGACAAAGACATGGATGAAATAATACAATAAATGATATAGAAAAAATATATAATTTTAAGTCTTTATATTTTGTTTGAATTTTGTTATAAGTCTCTATATTTTTTTAATATTATAAATTTATATACTTTTATTTTTGGGTGTTCTAAATCCCTCAATGAGTGATGTTATGAAGATTTAAAACATCAAAAAAATATAAAAATATAAAATACTGAAAAAATGTAAAAATTTATAACAAAATTTGAACAAAATATAGAAATATAAAATTATATTTTTTTTTTTAAGAAAAAATTGTAAGCAATGAGATGCATAAGCTGTGGAGGGGATGTGGGAAATTCTAACGCGGTTGCCCCATGTACACACGCTGAAAACAACACCGCCATGAGGTGGCGATTTCCTTGTTCCGGGGTCAAAAGAGAAGCGGCACGTCAAGAGTAAGTTAAAGAAACACAGGCTCGCCAGTTCCGAATTCAATTGCGTGGTGGGTCACTGCTGGCGTTTAAATGCACAGAGCTGTATCTGTATGTATTTCAAGATCCATGAAAGGCCATCTTTAATTTGTCCGCTCCAACGCTGACCGCTTTTGGGATTTCGCCTCTACCTTCATGGGTTTGCTTTCCATTATACAATGCTTCTGTAGTATTTCCTGCTGATAAAAATATTAAAAACTCGAGTTTCAGTTTCCTCAAGCGTCCCCACGACCTTCAAATAATTATGGCTTCGGTCCTTTTCTTAGGCCTTCTTGTGTCTCCCAATCACTTTCGTGGCCGTTGTGGCACACTGCATCAAAAGAGAATTCTGGATATGGATTGGCTTTTACAAATTTTGTTGACCGGAACAGTGACAGTGGACTGAAATTTTAAAAATCTTTCCCTTTTTTTCCCCTTCTTAATTCGAGTGACCTTTTATTTTATTCCTGCCAAATAAATGATAGGCGCATATTATGGCCAGAGAGAACCATGATTCTAGTATTCTTCGAACAAGGGAAGTGTAATCACTTCTTTATTTTCTTTTTTAATTCAAAGGGAAAGATACTTGCATAGCAGCAAAACTTGTGGAATAGGATGATATTAGAATCGACCTAAGAGCTACCCACTCAAAATAAATTTTTTTTTTTATGAATAAAACAAATCAACAATCCCTCGGAAAATGGAGAAGAAGGAATATAATTTATAAGGAAAATAATAAAATCCAAAAGATGAGTTATTTTTAGTATCTTGCCATTTTTCAGCAAGTATTGCAACAGTGAGAGAGGGGACTCTCCTTTTTTTTTTTTCTCTCCATATTCACCCTTCATTAATTCTACCATTTAAAAATTATTTAATAAAACAAAATGAATAATAAAAATTGAGGAGGTGGAGAGAGTCATCCTCCTCTCGTACCCTGTGTTCTTCAACAAAATATCAAAGCGTGAAAGGTGGGTAGGATGGTGACTAGCGACTTTTGTCGACTTATCTACGAGAGAAAATAACATACAAGGGATTCTATAATCATTTTTTGCAGCTGTATTGATTTGTTTAATTAATTTCCTGAAATGAGCCATCCAAGAGAATTTTAAAGGCTGTGACAATGATGAAGAAGATTGAGTCAAAAGCTCGTTGGAAGTTTGGAAAAGAAGGATCCAGTAGCATCACTGACTAGCACAGCGCAGTGTAACTGCCTTTTGACCGTAACAGGAAGCTCTGAGATTGAATGACCCTTGTGTAGATTTTGGAAATTTATTAGCGCCTTTGATTATGAACTTCAAGTGCTTAATTCCGCCTCCACACATACAAACAAAATAACCCACTAGTCTTATTCCCTGTGCCGCCTCATAGAGTAAATGTGCACTTCCCTTATTCTATCCTACACTTAATTCATAGTCGCTTCATGGCCGCGTGATTTGGGGATGCGTTAGAGAACTCGAAGTGGACATCAATTATAATTCCTCCGTTGTTCATCCCGTCCAGACCTTAACGGAAGTTTTTCATTCAGTATTTAGTATTATATGATATTATATATATATATATATATGTATATTATATTTTGTAAAAAAATAAGGCATTTCAAATCATTTAACATGTAATTAATATGATTTTTAAAAAATGTCACTGTGATTTATAATTTTTTAAATTAAGATAATCTATTAAATAAAAATAATGGATAATTTTAAATATTATTAAATGATAATTAATTTATCAAAAATATAAATTAGTTAATAGAATACATTATTTCAGATTCTGCAGTGAAATCTACAGTAGGCTACGAGCCATGGCATCTCCATCATGCTCGAGCCTCAGCCAATCACTGATGCTTCCAACACTGCTCCAATCACGTAGTAACACTTTTGACCAGCCATGGCGATGCACGACCGTGGCCCCGTTAGGGCTTCCCAAATCCAAAAATAAATAGAATAAAATGTTCCTGTTTGAAGATAGCCCCTGCCCCGACGCCCCACCTTTCTCACAGCGCGTCCGAGGGAAAGGTTCATTAATTGATAACCATATTGTACCATTAAATTAATAATAATTAATTAACGAGGAAGAAAGAAATATGGTATAGTTTTCACGGCTTTTCCTTCTTTCGCTGCTGTAGTCTCCTCTCTTCTTTGAAGTTAAAGCCCCCCTATAATACAGAAGAAAACAGCCATAAGATTCTACCTTTTTCTTTCATTACTGAAAAAAGCGAGTCATTTTGGGAATTTGACCACACCTCCGAGGCCTTTGACTCAAAATTATTTCCATATAATCTTCTCCGTGCTCTGTCCCTACCCGCCGTTCTGTGATGAGACGAAGCCCCCGAACAACCACACAAACTCACACCGGCACACCTCTGCTCTAAAGCCGAGCGGAGATTATTTGGATCTACAAAGACTAAAAAAGAATCTGTTTTTTCTGCGATGGATAAAGGCTGTCAATCCTCTGCAGCATCTTCCCGTGATTCTTCTGTTACTACAGCCATAGGCAGCAGCAGTAACGCAAACTTCACCGGCAATAATGGCAGAGACCAATATATCCGGCAGCTCAACAAGTTTTCTCACAAGATTTCCAAGCCCGTCGTTGCTAAAAAGCCGACCTTCGATTCTCCTCAAAATCAACAACAAAACCATAGCTTAAGCCACAATCCGCCACAACCGCCGCCGCCTCCGCCTCCGCAGCAGCAGCAGAGTTTGCAGCATCAGCCCCCTGTGTACAACATCAACAAGAACGATTTCAGGGACGTGGTTCAGAAGCTCACGGGTTCGCCTGCTCACGAGCGCATGTCGACACCTCCACCTATTCAGCAACCTAAACCTCCAAGTTCTCGGCTGCAGCGGATTCGCCCTCCTCCCCTCGTGCAGATTAGCAATCGCCCTCCCCCGTTGCTAAACGGCGCCGCACCCCATCCTCAACCACCCATTATGAACCCTCCCTCGGCAATCCCCAACAACCCCGTCAACTCGTTTCCCGTCAACAATTTCTCGGGCTTTGGAAGACCCGTCGCGCCCTTATCTCCTCTTCCGCCATTTCCAGCCGTCCATGCGGCAGCCGAGTCTCCTATCTCAGCGTACATGCGCTATCTGCAGAATTCGGTGTCCAACATCGATTCTAATTCCAAGCAATTCTCGGGATTCTCGCCCTTGGCTCCCCTGGTCTCGCCGCGCTGGAACAATTTTACTCCGCAACAGCCTCAGCCGGAGCCACGTTCGCAGGCTCAGGAGATTACTTCTTCGCAAACAACAGCCACGGCACAATCGCAGTCGCAGTTTCAGATGCCGGCTTCGCCGGTTCCTTTCGGTTGCTTGAACTCGCCGAGATCGCCGTACCCTCTGCTTTCCCCCGGTCTTCTGTTTTCGCCATCGTCGGGTCAATTAGGATTTCCCCAGTTCCCCCTTTCGCCTACGGTGCCTCTTCCAAGCCCGAAATATAGAGGTCTCTGAACTCGTACTTCTTCAGCTAAGGGTAAGACTGGTCACTGGTTAGAAAAATATTGTTGGTTAAGGTTTAGGATTTGTTTTTGTGGCTCATGTACATGGCTTTTAGGCAGAGGGAATGGAGTTTATTCATTTTCTAGTGGTGGGACTGAAAGTGGAACTAGTCAACCATTGCTTAGTTTATTCTGTAGATGGGGCAAGGCATTCAAAACTCAAAGAACAATCTTTGTTATGTTTGTGCTTTTTAGAGATTTTTGGGGGTTGGGGGGGGGGGGGGAAGGCTTACAAGTCATACAAATACAGTGGAAAGTTGTTGCATTGCAATTTCAATATATGATAATATTGGTCCAAAACCTGTTATATCGAATTCTCATGGGTAAGTCTTGTGGCACTCTTTAAACGGAATAGCCAGACCTAATCATTTGGGTACAGGCAACCAATGTTGTTCTGGAATCACTGAACCTGTTTATTCATGGTCCCCCATGTTGCTGCCTCGCTGTTGCCTGACGCCTCTGAAGCTGAGGCAAATTAGCTGACTAATTCAATTTATATGTTGGGGGACTTCGATGCTCAAAAATGGAATAGTGGGCATTCATTCACTGGCAAACCTCGATCTCGAACGAAGGGATGGGGATATTTTTGAATGTTCGTCTTTACCACTGAACGTTGCAAGCTTTTACTGAATTTTGAGTTTGACACGATGCTATTAGAACAGGATGGCAATTCCCCATTGCATGCATAAAATATGCTGCAGTGCTGAGTGCTGACGGTAGAAATAATTATTAGCATACATCTGAATTCCATTATAACGTTGGTTTGATCACAAATATAGAAGGTCTGATTATGCAGTGTGGACATGGAGTTCGAGAACAGTCTGCTAAATAAAAACTCGATACCAGGAGAGTGGACTACAGTGGGGTGGTGGGTCCTCGTGCATGTCTCACATGAACAATTCGCATGTGGCATCGACTTTAGATATGGGGATTGATGAGTTCTGGTAATTCGTTTTAATTCCCAGAAACGCGTGGCTTTTAAGTTCTAACTTTAAGTGAAGGATAGATACATAAATAAGCGATGTTCATTGTTCAAATGTGCCAAGTTGACTGCCAAATGCGACTGAGGTACTGCGCAATCGGTTGGGAATTAATTAGAAGCAGATTTTTACGATTTTTCTGTCCCATTTGCCAATAGCCCAACACTCAACGTGAAATTTCACGCCGACGGTGCCCCTCCGGTTTTTGTTGTTGAATTGCTCAACACCGACCACTCTCCTTGGTAGAGAGATGGAGAGTGCAGTTTCGTCCCCAATGCCCATTTCATGAAAGCATATTCTTGAAATGAAAAAAGACTGATCATTTTGGCATCAATATGGACGTCCAAATCCAAACTAAACATTCAGATTTATTTATTTATTTTTTATTTTGAATGGCTGATATCTCTATGAGCACATTGATGATACTTTTCATAAACATTCTCTTAGATCTAAAAAAAAAAAAATTAAAATCGACAAAATTTAATTGTGATCTTTTTGTACATGTAATATTTGAATGGATGTAATGAAGTCTTGATCTAATTGCCTGTTACTTTCATCATGAATTACTTTTATATAATTTCAAACAACATTAAAGAAAAATGCCTAGTTACATAAATACATGAAGAAAGAAAGAAAGACAAAATTATTTGTTGCCAAAACTATCCTACCATGCCAAAAGCCCCGATCATGTTCTGTTTCTCCTTTTTCACGATGCTATAATTTTGCTCCTCGGTTCAACGGCTAGTAATGAGACAGTTATTTATTCCTGCAAAGTGAAATCAAGAATGAAGAAATACTTAGATAAATCAAGTGTATTACATCATTTATGATCTGTTCAATAAAAATATAATATTTAGATAATATTAAATATAAATGAATTCTGATATTAATGATAATATAAAAAGAAAAGGTAAAAAATTAAATGTATATTCTACTTAAGTATTTCTTATAAAAAAGAGCACATTTGATATCAATACATATGACACTTATAATGAAAAGGAGATGCAAAGCATGGAGAACAGAACACTAGAAGAGCACATCCAAGGAAAAAAAAAAATTAAGAAGCAAAATTGCGTGCTTAATTTTTGCTTCACTTGTTAGCCCCTGGTTCTTCCCATTTTCAAGAACTTATCTAGCCTTTTTCACCAATATGCTATAACCAGTAAACAAAATTGTCTAAATGCTATACCTTGAAGTATTTACCTAAATACTATATGAAGAAGAAAATGAGTTTACATTCATGAAGAACTTGTTCATGCAAAGAACAAGTTTATAGTTAGAAAATCTAACGTTCATGTTTTTTAATGAAAAGTAAAATCGTTTAATTAGTGAACGAGTTTAACTTTTTTCACTGATAAGAAAAATATTTATTGCAAAGATACGATCCGTCCCTAGCAGAATCTCCCTACATTCTTTCCTTCCCTATTCTCATTATATGATGGCTACTTGTTTATCCAACTACCAATTGAAAATGAAAATGTAGAGAAATTAGAGTTTAAAAGTTTAGTCAATCTCATTATATATCAATCTCATCATTATCATCACTCTCTTTACCTCTTTCAATCCTACCTAATTTGAATCTCACATGCCACATTCATTATCATTCATTTTCAACTCACTTACTCTATTCACCATCAAGTGTTATTGCAAGTGTATGGGTCATCACAAGTATAAAATATTACAGGGATAGGTTTCCAAAAGGATTTAAAGAAAGGAGGGGCTAAAAAATCACTCTATAAGTTATGAGTTAGGTTGAACAAAGTCAAGTAATATGGTTGTGTGTGAAAATATGAAAATTAGATTAATGAGGTATTTTAAAAACAAGTAAATTAATAGAAACTACAAATTCAAGAGATAAAGACCTGGGATTATCTCTCTCCTTTGTATTTTATAAGACTTTAATTAATTCATCTCAAAATGATTTATAATAAGAAAATAAGTGTTATTCTAAAATTATAATTTATTTGAAAAAAAACTTTCTCAAGTCTAAATCAATTATATTTGTCAACACTGAAATTTTGCATTCTCTTGAAAATAATTTGTGGAAAACAAATTTTAAGCACAAATTTTAATTTGACTATGAAGGTTAATAAAATATTTTTATTTACCAACTAAATTATCCATTATCTTTGTAAATTTCAAATTCAACATTTTTTATTCAAGTTTTATATCTAAATTAGCTTTCTCAAGCACTACTTACATAAACAAAACAATTCAAATGATAGCCAAACACTTACAAGCATTAAGTACAGGATAAAATAAACACATATATATTATTAACTATCAAAAGAGAGGAATAATCAAGTATTAATCATACAAAGATTTGAATAAATAACCCTAAATAAGAAGACTAGCTACTCAATTTCAGAAAAAAGAATAATAAATATCTAAATATTTAACACCCATATCAAATACAAAGAGAGAAAAGGGAAGGGAAGCAAAAAAAAAATATTGGAGCAAATTCACTTAAAATCTTTCAAATCTTCATTCATTAGACAAATCTCCCTCAAATACCCAAATCTCTGGAGGTGTGGACATTATCATATAGAACCCTAATTTTCACTTCAACAGCTAAAACGCACACAGCAACAATTTTACTCCATATGTTGCGGCATATGTTCATGCACCACAGCATATGATCATTTTATAGATGTGCGTTGTAGTATAAGGATCATGTGCCCGCCGGCACATCTCCACCTTTACAAAATTCCTCCTTCTTTGTCATATGCCATTGCACATGGTATAGAGAGCTTGTGCTTCTTTTGTGGTCTACTTTTGACTACCTTTATGCATCTGAATACATCCTTAAGCATCGATTAACTTTCCATTAACACAATTACTCATAAAAGTCACCTGAAACAAAAAGGCACACTACAAAATATTTCAAATCAGGCAAGTTTTTTGTTTTACAAAAATTGTCAATAAATTCTATTTATCAAGGCTAAATTCAACCAAAGCTTGTTTTTTTATATTCAAACCCAAAATATCACAATTGAATCAAATAGGAAATGAAAGTATGGAAAAAATGTATTGAATTGGCATCAATTTCAATAGGTTATTATCTGTTACTCAATTTGGATCATTCACATCTTTATTTAATGATCTCGCACTATTTTTAGCTGAATATAACACTTTTATTTTTGAACATGATAGATTATCAAATGAAGCATATGCGACCCCTTGACAATCAATTTCTTTAGTTAAATTACATTGGTTTGATTTAAATATGGCAATTGTATAGATAAATGAAACACTTGAATCTCAAGCAAAGGGGAATATACAACAACACCATGATATATGCTTCATTTGATTCAAGTAAAAAAAAAATTTAACTATCAAGGGAAGGCATTTGCTTTATTTGATGGTTCACTATGTTCAAAAATAAAAGTATTGCATTCAACTAAAAATAGTGCGAGTCATCAAATAAAAGCATGAACGATCTAAATTAAATAGGAGTGGATGAGTTGAACTAGATAACGACGAGGGTCGCGTGTAATAAGATTGACTAAAATTTTAAAGTTCTTGTTATCTTATATTTTCATTTGCAATTGATAATTAGATAGACAAGTAGCCATCATGTAAACAAAAAAAGAAAAGTATGTAAGGAGATTCTCACAGGGATAGGTCCCATCTTTGCAATGAACATTATGTCTTACCAGTAAAATAAGTGAACTCATTTACTAAATAAATGATATGTCTTATCAGTAAATAAGTTGAATTCATTCACTAAATAAATGATTTCACTTTTCATAAAAAAAATTTAATGTTAGATTTTCTAATTACAAAATTTTTCCTTGTATGAACAAGTTTTTTCACATATATAAATTCATTTCTTCTCTGAATGATTTTTAATATATTATTTGAGAAAATATTTCTCACACTGCAACATTTAGGTTATTTTACTTACTGTTTACAGTATATTGGCAAAAAAGCCGATTAGCTAAGTCCACCTATTTTAACTTGTAAGCTCTGAAATATGTGTGTGTGTATTATTGAAAGTTAAAATTTGGAAAAACAAATTATAATATGTACGTATT